AGCGAGAGATCGCTTCCAATCGTCGCCATCAGAGTGTGGCGCTGCACACTCCAACGACTGCACACTTCGAGGGTGTGCTGCGCAGTGTAGGGGGTACGGGAACCTAACCTAACCTAACCACGACGCGACAAAACGACGATGTGTCAACGGTGAAAATCTGATAAAACGCAAGGAAACCGGAAGATCTACAAAACAATACTTCGGTTTTTGTGTTTTGGGGCGACAGGTTTCTGACCTCTGGAGGACCAACAACCGCCTCCGCCTCGGCGACGACGGGTCAAAATCGCGAAGTATTCTGGAAGGACGATACAAGGCGACAAATCCCGGCGAAGGAACCATCACTACATGATAAGTAGTATAAAAGATAAAGCATTTTATAAAATTTTTTTCTTCCCGCATTACAAACTTATGGAAAATTACGTAAATTGAAAACTGACTTTCATTTCTTATAAAATTAAAAATTTGACTACGCAGTATTGTATAACATCTACCAAAACCATTTTCTCCACTTTGATAAAAATTTTCGGCCTTATAATTTCGAAATTAAAAGAAAAATAAAAATAAGATAAGAAAAATTCAAAAATCATTACCATAAGCCTGTCACACAGTTGTAAAATATAAGTAAGCAGCGTAAGTCATTACGCCACTCAAATGTTAGTTTATACGTAGTGTAATTTGTGTTACCGGTGCGGCAAGCCAGGTCACCGGGCGGCTGGATGTCTGTGATCTTGGTCGGCCGGCGGCGCACATAATGGGAGGGAAGGCGTGTCGCTCTCCCCCAATGAAGGCTAAGGAGGACCCAGGGAACCAGGCCTCCACCGTAGCGACGGTACCTACGGCTGCGCCAGTGGAGGAAGTTGAGATGTCTATTGATGGACAGGCTTGAACTCAACTTCCTCCAGACGAACCTGAACCACTGCGCCAGAGCACAGGACTTGTTCATGCAGTCCCTTCTTCGCTACCTTGTGCAGGTAGTGACCGAAACACCCGTGCACAGTCAGCACCTGCACAAGGTGGTACGACAGTGGCCCGTGGGACCGGTTTACCCACTCTACGAGGACAGGGCGTATCGCCCCTATGGTACGAACGCCATAGGGGGATCCGCGAAGCCCTCTTTCCACCGGTCCCGCATGCGCTGCGCCGTGAGGCGGCGCTCCCGCTTGACCTCTTGGCGAGCGGGTCGCTCGCCTCGGTCCCTCATTTCTCGCCGCTAGGTGCGGACCTCCGCCAGGTCCTCGACTGTAACGTAGTAAATTAATAATATTTTATTTATTTTATTTAGGATGTATTCGGAAGAGTCCCGTGTCCAACAGTGGAACGTATACTTAGAGTTATCGAACGAGGAATGCGCGCGAGCCATTTTTTATAGGCGACAACTGGTTCGGTTCCTCGCCCCCTTTGCGGGGTATCAGGCAAGCCGCCGTCCCGCTACCGCTTGGACGACGGCTCACTCCAAAATCTATCTTGAAGAGAGACGCACGCGCATTTTCTCGTAATAGCGATTTCCGCAAAGTTAATTTTTTTTCGTAATTTAAAGTATTTAAATCGTTGTGTTTTTAAACCCACTTGTTTGGTAAGTGTTGAACACGTAACTTTCTTTTACCTATTATTATGCCTTCTTGTGACGCCTATTTAAATTGTAGTCGTAACGGTTTTTTTTTTATTTTGAATGTTTGCCTATTTTTTGTAATTTGAAATGTTTTGGAATTTCCATGTTACTCCGTTCTGATTGTGACAATCACGCAACACTGCATTGATAACATGGTGCTTTTCCCCACCTCTTTGTTCACTGCCGTTGTCACAATCAGGGGAGCAAACCGTGGACAGTGCTAAGTGGACCTATGGGTATTTCAGGGTCCGAGGTTCCGGTACCTTTTTACCGTTCTCCTCGTCGGCTGGCCTGAGCCCAGAGAGCGACACCGTGCCCCGGACATCTATTCGGCGGACACTCTCAACCCGCACCCCCGGACTTCATTTCGGCGGACGGATCCGTTCCTGTCCCGGTTACTTCAACCCCGGACGTTACTTCGGCGGAACAGCCAGGGGAGTACCAGCTGCTGGTCGTAGGAAGGCAAAAGTTCAGTGAATAACCGTTGGGTTTTAAAATAACGAACCGCGCCCAAATAAATTTTGTTTACAAAGGTATTCCTTCTTTTATTTAGAGGCCCCCCGTAACACTGGCGCCTGGCGTGGTTCGAGGTCCCACGGCGGAGTACCGGCGAGGACGCAGCGACTTCGTCGCCGCTGATAAGGCCCCACTCCAAATGGGAGCGCCGTATAAGGCCATACTCCGGGTCACCCCGGCGTATAGCCTCCTGCATGGGGTTCCGGGCCTCCCGAGGTTGGGCAGGAGCCTGCCCAACGCCGAAGTTCCATCGCCGGTCCAGGACAAGTCCCAGATATTTCATCTGGGATTTGACTGGGACCGATACTCCCGCGATGGAGATGTGGGCGCCTGCCGGCACCGCCCAACCTCTACCCCTCTCGCCGAAGACGGCCACATCCATTTTCGGCACGGCAACCTCGAGCCCCAGTTGTGGCTACTGAGGGTCTTCGGGCCGCCTCCTGGAAGGTGGTCCCCTGGAACGCGCGCCTCCCTTCCCTCGTCTGGTACAGCACCACCCTGTCCTCCGGGTAGTGCTCCACCAGACGGCTGAGGTACCGGGGATCTTATGGTACCTCAGCGCCTCCCTGATCATGGCGAAGGCGTTGGCTATGTGCAACAACACAGCCACCATGCTTTCCCCCTCGCCGTTACCTTCCTCCACGATGTGTCGCAGCGACTCCAGGGCGTCCAGGGTGGAGAGTCCAGCCCTGAACCCGTACTGCCGCTGCGACACATCGGGGCCTGTCCTCCTCAGGTGTTCATTGATCCTGGAGGCGATGATTCGCTCCAGGATCTTCGCCACCTCGTCCAGCAGGACGAGGGGCCTGAACCCCGAGGGGGAGTCCGCAGGTCGGCCTGGCTTGGGCACCAGGACGAGCCTTCCCTCCTCCACATCGTAATAGCTACGACGCGTTGGGGCCTGGAGGCAGGAGGCAGGAGGTCTCTGTTGGCATATGTAAGGGCGTCGTGCCATATAAGGGCCCCGTACATGGCCATGCTGCGCGCTACATCCGCGTATAGACGCCTACACGTGGCCCCAGGTCCCCCGACGTTCGGCAGGAGACGGCCAAGTGCCGCTGCGGCGCCCGCCACCCGGGGAGCAAGCTGTTTGAAATGCTCCCGCAAGTTCCAGTGACGGTCCAGCTCAAACCCCAGATATTTAATGTGGGCCTTGACCCGAACCGCCTCCGTCCCGATGGATATGTGGGCGCCAGCAGGGAGCCGCCACCCCCCACCCAGTCTTCCAAAGACTGTGGCCTCCGTCTTGCTCAGCGCCACCTTGAGCCCCAACAGTTCGATGCGGTGGACAATCGTACCCCAGGTTCCCCAGTAGTGGCCCGAGGACGGACCCCTGGGGTACTCCGCACTCCACATTTCGTGCTACTATTTGGCCGCCTCTCGATTGATAGAGCACCACCCTGTCCGCCAGGTAGTGCCGCACCAATCTACGCAAGTAGAGGGACACCCTGTGATATCGGAGCGCCTCCTCCACTACGCCATAAGGGAGGGTGCCGAATGCGTTGGCGATGTCCAACGGCTCCGCGACAACCCCCTCCTCATTGGCGCCTCTACAAAACATCACCCTAGACGCTTGTTACAATTAAACTATTATAAGACCTCAACTATTATAAGACCTAAATGTAACAACATGTTTTGCAATAAACGTTTATTATTATTATTATAACTCATTTGACCTATGAGAGGCTGTACTAAATTCTCGTCTCCTCACCCCTCTTTCCACTGATACCTTAGATTTTTCCGCTCTCACTCCTGCTCACTTTTTAATTGGACGCTCACTTATGTCAGTTCCTCAGCCGCAGGTTCCTGATACGAACATCAACCGCATCGAGAGATTCAGACGAATTGAGCTGCTGAAACAACACTTTTGGAAGCGCTTTTCCTTGGAGTACGTTACATTGCTTCAAGGGAAGAAAAATAGCGAACGTCAACTAAGGAGCTGAAACTTGGCTCTCTTGTTCTCGTCAAAGAAAAGGCGTTGCCACCACTGCTGTGGTCTTTAGGACGAGTCACTCAGCTCTACCCTGGCAGCGATGGAGTCACTAGAATCGCGGAGTTAAAAACTAAGAGAAGCAACATACGTAGAGCCTTTAATATTATTTGCCCTTTTCCAGTTCTTTGAAGTCTTCACACTTCGACCCGAGGAGTATGTTGCGAACTGATCTTATACACGCTCGGCACGACACGGCGAGCGGCTGCGGCGCAGGGGCACTGGCCTTATCGACAGCCACCAGGGACGGTCGACCCCTATTCATTTATTATAAACGAGTACACGTACGATTAAGACAGCGAATATACCAATCCTATTGTAATACAGTCCACTTTTATTTCACGTACCTTAGGACCTTAACATGAGACATGCAGTCCATCTGTTATTAGCATCCCCGCCACTGTTGCTCTGCGCAAGTAAGTCCGTTGCGCAACTGCGTGTTTCTAAAACAGTGGCCTTGTTGACCAAGGCTGTACCTCTGCAACAGTTAAAATTCAACAGGAGCAAGTCATCATCACAGACAAGAACGGAACCTGTCACAATGAAATACCGCAACTTTTCGTTGACAATATAAATGATCGGGGAGTACGTAAATGTGAAAGATCCTAAGTTTACTGGAAACCAGGTTTTATATTTGCTTATTTTGTTTTTGATTTCTCAGCACATTTAATAAATGATAGGATTTTATATGAGAGACTTACTTGGCACGCTGCAGAGACGGACGTGTCTGCTAGCATTATATAATTTAAATTTAATAAATAATAAAACTGTAGCTGTGTCGCCGCTGTATCAGCGCTTTTCGGACTTTGTGTTTTGTGATGCTACGTGTGAACTTGTGCTTCTTTCAAATTATGAAGAATGAGTAGCCCGTTTAACAGAAGTACGATGACGAGTCGTAGCCCACCTCCCGTTAGACGGCACGTGGAATTGGAACCATCCCCAGCTCAAGCTTCAGCCCTCACCCCTTCTACGCCTGCACTGACTATAGACGCGGTCTCGACTCATGAAATTCAGAGATGGATGAGTCAAATAGAACAATGCCTGAATGACATCTGCACTATTTCTGGAGATGGGAAACTGAATACGGAGCAGAAGCTCAAAATTAGCAACATTAGCAGGTCAGTAGGTCAGCAGTTGGTTGCCGCCGAGCCGTTGTTCTAAGCACACACGTACAATTTTGCTCCGCACATTTTTATTCTTTAAAGTGACTAAATTCACGTAGTGCTAATTGTTTTACACACCAAGAAAAAGAAGACAAGCCCCTCTGCAAGAAGGTCAAAACAGAATTGGAAATCTAATTAGGACTGCTGAGTAATAGGCAAAAACATATCAAAATAAATACTAAACGGACATCTTCGCGAAGTCGCAGCGATCTCTTTTTTGCCGCCACCGTCATTTCGTCGATGCCAGTTGAGGTGAGTCATTCCCGCTCGCTTGCTTGCAGCGCTACCATTTGAATTCACTCGTCGCGTGCGTTTATTGTGACTACTACGAGATCGAATCTCACCTCACATTCACATTCATCATGGCTAAGATATGCAGCGGATGTAAGTCAGGGATTCAGAGCCTGCGATTTATGAAATGTCCAAAGTGTGATGATCTTTATGACTTGCCTTGTTTAAATTTATCAGTCCCTCAATTTAACGCTTTGCCTGATGACTTCAGAAAAAATTGGTTATGCCCTTCATGTTCATCAAATCGTCCAAAGGGAGATAACGTCAACACTCCTGTCCGATCAACAGCTATAGTGAACGATTTTGAAACGAACATAAATTTAAAACGCGGTACAATTAGAAAAGTGAAAACAACTGAGACTGCAGAATCAAGGTCTGATACATCAGTTCTCACAGAAATTCGTCTTTTAAGGCAAGAATTTGCTGAAGTTAGGAGTGAATTCAGTGATAAACTAGAATCAGTTTCAAAAACATTGAATGATCAACTTGGCGAATTCACTAAAACAATTGAAGCTAAAAATCTCGAGATCGCTTTCCTTAAAACATCTGTGACCAATCTACAGCGACAACTCGCCGTGCACGAGCAAAATAGTATAAAAAACGAGTTGGAAATAGTCGGGTTGCCAGAATATGACAACGAAAATCTCATGCAAATAACATCAATAATGTGTAAGAAAATTGGAGTCGACCTAAATGAACAAGACGTAGATGAGGTGATCCGTGTTGGACCCAGAAATTTGCACAGCAGTGACTCATCTCAAAGGAAGTGGCCGCGACCCGTTGTTGTAAAGTTACTTAGAAGGAGGACCCGGGACGAGATTCTCAAGGCTGCTAAGTCTAGACGAAATGTCACATCAGAACATGTGGTTGAAGGCCCCCCGAAAAATGTATATTTTAATGAAAGGCTCACTAAGGAAAATCGCACTTTATTTCGAGAAGCAAGACAATGGTGTCAAAGGGTCTTAAGTTTTAAGTTCTGCTGGATTCGAAATGGAGCTGTTCATATTAGACAGAGTGAAAACAGGGCCGCTGTTCGATTGCAATCTATTGAAGAACTGGATCAAAAAATTGGACATGAGCCTGATGGCTAACAGGCTAAAACATAAAGACAGTTCTATTTTGGTTCTAAGGTTTTGTTGTTTGTTTTTTGTGATCTTTATGCTTATTTTGGTCTTGGCAATTTGTACATTATACACATGCTCACAGTCACTTTCTAAATCGAACAGTAACATTTTAGCATTCACACACACTCAAATACTACAAACAGAAATTAACTCAGAAAAATTTCACAATAATCAAGATGTACACGATCCGGCCAGATCGAAGGAATTTTTCTGAGTGTCCGATCTTTGTATTAATAATTTAATAAAATGTTATTAATTGTATGTTTTATATGTTTTTTTTATTTGACGCTACTTCTGCTGTCCCAATATTTTTTCCAAA